ATCTGCGAATAATTCGCATGATTTGACGACGAGGACAAATTATTTTGGAAGCTTTCGCTTTGCTCGGAAGTTTACCGCAGAGCAAAAACTGAATGTTTTTCAGCAAACAAATTTCGTGGATACTGCTTAACGGCACAATCTGTATTACTGCTTAATGACGATGAATATAAGATTTTGCCAAATTTCAAGTGATAAAAAAGTCGCAAAATCCATGATAGAATAAGAACGTGAAACCCGCAACTGACCTCGATAGAACAAGTAAGCCCATTTGAGATGATGCACATAGAAGAAGTGGTTTGGTTTGCTGGATATGCTGCAACAATTTCGAGCAATGCTACCACCACTCCCAATTGAATAAATCGCGCTGCCGGGCTGCAGATGGGATATAAGTGAATAAAAGCAGATTAAAAAATACGTATGCAAAAAGAGTGATCTAAATAGAGATAGAAAAAAGCTGAAGAAAATGTATGGCATAGTAAGATTAGCTAACGGTATTCGACCCATTAAACTGTAAGCGTCTCATCTCTGTACCACATTTTGACCTTATTAGTACAAATTTTAATAATACTTTATTTTTAAGAAAGAATAGCACAATTTTTCAACGCTGCGATGCACTGGCAAGAATTTCACGGTAAAAATTAGGAAAATTCTTGAAAAAAGCAAAAATTTTTTCAACCCGAAAACCATGCTGTTGTTGTTTTTGCAGATGCGTCTCAAGAAAATATCGTATTTTAAGAAATTTAAACCACATTAGATTCAAGCGCACCTTCCATTACTGTGTCATAAAAAACAAAAGGTTTTGAAATTTTCGCATAAACCATCAAGCAAAGAACTGGAAACTTAGAATTTCTCTAAGAGATCTCGAAAATTTTCTATTTACAACCAAAAAAATAATTTGTTGAACTTACACGAGCATATTGAAATGTCTAGATTGCTGAGAACCAGTAATGTTTGAATATCCTGATTTTTGACACGTCAAAAATTCAGTAGAAGAAGAGGCGTAGCTCGAAGCAATGAAAGAGCTGAAATTGTCTGACGAATCAGGCTCCTTCCTGCTGTGAGGTCTTTTTTCATAAAAGCTCCGGAAGCTTCCGAAATCAATCTCAGTGCTTTTTAGATGCGAAAAAACAAATTCTTTGAGGATGATCTTGGGGTGATTAATCGATTCCGATAAAACATGTTTATTCATCGGTGCCGCTGAGTAATACACAAAACGGCCTGCTGATGCTTTCACTATTGAAAATCTAAAATCGAGAGTGTTATAACTAGTCCCTGTATGTTTAACCCCCTCATTTCAGTGGTAAACCGGTACCAGAACCTACTAAAGGGTTCAACCCGCCCTCAGCTTACTTATAAGCAAGTCAGCAAAGAATGATTGATCCACAGTCTTGCTAACGAGTGGTTGTTTCTGACACCGGATTGCTCTCCGTCTCCCTCTACCTATCATAAAATATAGGAGAGGAGGAAGTTTCGTTGCCTTTTTCCTAAATTTAGCTTTCCAACGTTCCCTCTATCGCCTTATAATGTGATTCAGTGCAACTCAGTGGATTTTTACTTCTCTCTGGAAAAATTGTTTATTCCAAACTTCGTACAGCGCTCACTACCTCCAGTGTTTGCAGTCTTGAACATTTTAAAGCATTACAGATCTGTTAATGCTCAGATTCATGCAACTAAGTATCGACGTCCCCTTGGGACCTGGCGTGAAAGATTTTACTGAAGCAATGTACGCCAGAAAGAGGAGATGGGCTGATCTTGTGGTACAGATGTCAGATAAAAGGTAGACGAAGCGGATAATGGAAGGGTTTCCACGCACAGTCAAGCGAACACTGGGAAGGCCACCAATGAGGTGATGAGACCCCATGGTACGCCTGTACGATACTGCATGGACTCAGGCAGTGTAACAACGAATCGAATGGAGAAGTTGCCAGCTGTATCGATGGCTTGACAACGGACATCAATGACACACAGCTGCTCAAATATTCAAGTATGAATATAACTAACACTGTCAGCAAAAATGAAAGCACAAACAAATATTTCATAGATGAATGCTTTTGCATTTCTTATAGGGTGCAAGAAACAGAAACTTGGCATCGACAGACTTTGAAGAAGTAAGAAATCACTGAAAGATCGGTAATGTCAAAAACGCTTAGAAGCCAGGTTTTAAAAATGAACTGGACTTTTTTTGCGAGGCATACACTGATGAGGATTCGATAGGCACAAAGTTTTTTTCCCCTTACTGAAAACCGGTGAACGTCAGGTATTGATGAGTGGTGCTCACGAGGAAGGAAACGACCAAGGATGATTCACATAAATTGAACAGGCGATGAGTACTAACTGGAAATTTTGCAGCGCAAGATCAAAGGGCCCAGGGCGCTCGGCATGTGAGAGCAACCCAGCAACATTGCTAGCATGATGTGCACATCAGCTGCGCGACTGGTGTTGCTAAAGAAACACCAAAAGAATTTCATTTCGAACATTGTTGCCTAAGTGTTTGTTCACAGTTGCGTGCTTGCTTATTTATTAAGCATCGCCGCTGTTTCAGTGGTTTTTGAAAAGTGTTGAAAATGACAGGGTCTGGTGTGATACAGTGCCTCTGCTGCTTTCTCAGAGCAGTGAGTCAGCGACTTTAAGACACACAATTTCCAGGCAACAGGTGCTCCTGACAAGAAACAATGCTGTTTGCTTAGCAACCAACTTTCATTGCATAAGTTAACAGGTTGGTTTGTTTCGGTTTCCTGAATCGATTGATGAATCCTGAATGGAATCGATGCAAAAATCGTATAAAACTTCGTCGCCATAAAACGATATTTCACTTATACACCACAACAATTTTCCGCGTAATAACCAAAAATCAATTTTCTGGCGGGTTTTTTACGCTTTATCCAGAAAACTGAAAGCCCTGGCAGCCCAATATCGAAAGACTTGGCATAGCTGCACTTGGTCATGGAGCATCCTAGTAGCATTATTAAGAGGGAGTTACTTATGCTGATAGCCTAAGCGTTCTTGGCATTTTTGGTATTATCCAGAAAAGTATCATATGGAAGAAAAGTCCATGAAATTTGGAACAAACACAAAATTTACTACGACCTAGCGAAGTGACAATGTATATAAATATCCGAGACAAACAAGGATAAAACAGGTAACAGGGTGTTTCAACACCACCGTTTTATTGCCCGGGTTATTGGCCTGGATTCCCTCATGTTAATAAAACACTCTCTAAGCTCTCTTAACCTAGATCTCATTTATCCCTGAAAACCCCTGGTAAACATGGATGTGAATTAACTTGTGAATTGCCAAAGCTTCCAGAAATAGTCCATTCTGGGTGCATTCTTGGTTCCATCCATACCTATCCCTCCAACACTCCTAATTTTACAAAATCACAACTTTACCGCGTATTTAACGTCACAGATCCTTTAAGAAGAAACCTCCACAGCACTTGTGATACTGAATTCCGATTTTTAACAACCCCTTTCACTAACAGCTTGCTTATGGACTCCTTCGAACAAGAACGCCGTCTATAGCATAGCCAACGGGCGATTGTTCGTGGTACTTGCACTGCCCTTGCAGTACTCCCTTTCCGCCTGGACGAAGGATGTAAAGGGGGGATTGTTCAAGCTGCCGATGTGCTTCTTAACATCAGCTGGCTTTTTTGTCATGCCACTGAAAAAAAATTTAGTCCCACTAGTACTGATTTGCATTTCCTTTTTAATCTTAATCAGTAACTTCATTAAGATGCTCAATAGACTTTTGTATCCCATTCTATTAATCTTTTGATTTCATTGACGGCTGAAAACAACAAAGAAAATCTCGTTTTCTAGGCCTTCAAGTTTAAAGTTAGGTTTTGTTTGGGCTAAGACACATGGAGAGCCCAGGGGCTTTAATATGTCTTTTGGATATTAAAGTTTGAAGTTTGATTTGCCCAGCTACGCAAGGGAACGTATAATTGGTGAGCTGGAAGTGCTACGGGCTTTGCCGACGACTGTTGGATGTCGAATGTTAGTGAATGGTCCTCACTGAAAAGGAGAAACCACTCATGCATCTACACCGAGTAGGGTACTTACTAGATGTATGCAACCCAGGATCAATCGTCTGAAGTACAAGGGCATTCCAGTAAAATCACTATCACAAGATTCCACAATGAAGGTAGGCTAGGTGGTATTGGTATTTTCGGCAACTATAAAACTCTAATATTAAGCTGAATTTGCAAATTTCAGGTGTTGTATGATTGTAAGTCATTTTGTATGATTGTATGTCATTCCGCTACACCAGTGTTTGCGCATAAATTGCGCAAAAGTTGGTTTAAAATGATGCAAAAATAATGAAAGTTTTATGTACATGGTTGTATTACAGTAGAGTATACCAAGTAAGTGAGATTAACAAATGTAGCAAAATTTTTAAATATGCGTAACTGCAATGATTATAGGAACATTATAAAACACGAGTTTCACAGTGTAGTAGCACTGCACACCTCAATAAATTCAAGCAACCAAACAATTTATTTAAAAAACCACTTAAATTAAAGCTTCTGTTACATTGCCATTGTGAAAAATGATCGCAAAGTGCCGTAATTATTGACATACAGTATGATAAGGTTAACTGTGCCAGTTACTGTAACCAAAACAGTTAGGCATTTTCGAGACAGAATTTCGGTGGTTCCGGGAAGCCGAATGGTTTTGTAGTGTTACGTGCATCCACAGTTTCTTTATCTCCGTCTAATTTCACCAGCGGGTTTTCCGTAGTACTATTCTTCTCCGAAGCTGGAGAACGGTGGTGGAACATGTGATCCATTCCCCACATACTGTTCCACATGTTCGCCATCGATTGTAAAAGTCGATGGAACATCTGAAATATGCAAATTTTTTTACAAAATTTTCTCCTTTG